CAGGAAGGCCTGACGCAATATGGTTCATGGGGTCACGAAGAGTCAGACACGACTTAACGACTAAACAACAAAGCTCCTTGATTAGGGTATTGTTTTCTGCTTGTTTGTCTGGTCTTAATCCCTGCTTATCCAGGTGTTGGCTGCTGGAGAGGATGTGTTCTGGTCCTTCTTAGCTTTTTAAATTCTCTTTTGAATGATGTGTAAGTGTAGTTTATTTCTATGTGTCTATTGATGGCTGATTTTTTTTGAATGCCAGGCTTTCAGGAATTCCTTAGCATTTTTGGATTTAGCTCGGTCTAGGATGCTCAGAGTTTCCCAACTGAAACTATGGTTGAGTCTGTCCGTGAGTTATGAGATCAAGGAGTTTTCATGGTGTCTTCTGACTGCTACTTGGTGTTCATGGATGTGCTCTGCTAGTCTTCTGCCTGCCTGTCCTACACAGTGGCTGTTATAGTCCTTACACTCTACGTTGTAGACGACTCGTTTTTTCTTCTTGGGCTACTGGGTCTTTTGGTTTACTTAAGAGGTTTTGGAGGGCTTTAGTTGGTTTCTGTGCTACACTAATGCCGTGTGGTTGTAATAGTCTGTTGGTTGTTTCTGAAATGTTTTTGAGGTATGGCAGTGTTATCCTTTTCATAGCTTGTGCTGGTTGTGCTGTAGTGGGTTGAGTGGTCAGGCACTTTTTGATAAAGTTGTGTGGGTATCTATTGTGTTGGAAGATGTTGTACAGGTGGTCTGTTTCCTTTTTCTGGCGTTCTGGGTTGCTGCAGTACATTTGTACTTGTCTGAATAATGTTCTTACACAGCTCCTCTTGTGGGATGTTGGGTTGTTATAATATTGGTCCATAAACACACAATCGTTCATGGTCTGTAAACCAAGCTATGACTTGAACGTCCCCAGAGAAAAAAATCTCATTTCACCCAAGGTCAGTTTAAAGCACAAGATATTTCAGGGCAAATAACATCTCTCATCTACACGGATGAACTACGTATAAAAAAACTAAAGCTGGCATGCCTGAACCACCAAACTAAGGAAACTCCATGGATTCCTCCATTATCATTTCATTCTCATATGCCAACAACATCCTTGCTGCAGAGTGTTGTTCACCCAGTTCCACAACCTCGTCTTTTTGCTTGGAACAAGTCCACACTTTCTTCCTTGAGGTTCTGTACGTCTGAAATTGCCTTCTAGAAGACTTCCAGGCTGCTGTCTCCCTTCCTTTTTCAAATCCCACCTCACCCCTGACCTCTGAAGATGCCTGCCCAGCCTGTGAGACCTCAGACCCAATGATATTAAAGTCTAAATAAGTGTAATTAAACAACGACATACTCATCCCCTCAAGCGACTGCCACTGCCATGTACAGGAAAGGATGTATAAACAACAAAATGCAGCATACGTGAAGTGTCCCGAGTGCTCCACAAATCTGGATATATTACCTTCGTAATCTGACTTCTGACACATGTAAAGATTAACTTTTTCCAAACTGATGTCAGAGGCTGCAAAAAAAGGAGCTACTCTACACTGAAGTCAGGAGAGTTAAAATGCTTTGCCCTGTGGGATCGGTGCTGCAGGAAAGCACAGCTTATTGGAGTTTTCACGGCACGCTCGATGTGCACAAGGCCTTTACAAGGCAGGCTCAGAACACCATGATTTACCTGGAGAGGGGAGCGTAGTGTAATCACTTTGTTTCCTTCTTCTGCGTCTATCTGCACAACGACTGTATTGGAGGAATTGCTTTCAGGCTCTCTGACACTATGCAGTCTTCTCCCTGGCTTTGCTATGGGAACACCGGCCACTTCACTGTATCCTTCAGGTGCTGTTTTACATCAAAACAACATCAGATTTCATGTATGTTATTCCTTCATCATTTTTTCTTTAAAAAAATAAAAGTCTACAATTCAACCATAATTCAAGCAATTATTCCTCAGTTCCAGAAACTTACAGCCACTGTATACAACTTCATCTGCTTACAAGGAAAATAAAATATTTCTTGTCATAGAACTGTGGTAGATCATGCAACTAAGTAATGAAAAAAATTCAGTCAAAAATTCCCTGCCAGTGAAAAATAAACCTCTCAAGGAGAAGGATACTAAATGCAGCTTTATACCTAAAATACTAATATTTTATCCTGCGGATAACTTTTTGCTTTTATGAACAAGAGCATTCTTTCTCCAGAAGGCCTCCTAAGATAACACACGGTACTTTTTTTGAATGGCTGGAATAATTCCAAATGCAAGAGAGAATGGAAAAACTTCAAAATCCAAACCAGTATTGATAATTAAAAGTTTTATTCTGAAAAAAAAAAGATACGATATGAGTGTTCCTCCACCAAAGTAAATTTCCGCTTATTCAATCAATGGAGGACAACAAGGTAACCCCTGCTAATCTCAAAAGAAGAGTTTTCAGAAGTCCTTGTCTGAAAATCATTCTTAGTCATTTGGAAACATTTCCAAACACTTTCTTTCACCTTACCAAAGCTCAGTGTTAACAGAGAACTGTCTTGGCGATGTAAGATGCTTCGGTTCCCTTTGTTCAGAGTCTCCGAGGTAGCATACTCCAGTTCTAAACTCTGACCAATTCCCATATCGTGAATATCATCACTTGTAGGCAGTCCAACAACCTGGAGGCTTTTGCACGCATGAACTCTGAGAGGAATTCCCAAAGCATTCCTGACAGTAAAGGGAGCCCTGTCTTTCAAAGCATAGTCGTAAGTGGAAGCAGCTCCCTCTGAAAAGCCCTAAAAATAAAGCCAAACTTTACTTTAAAAACTGTGATGTAACACCAATTAAAGAAATTAAAACACCCTCTAATGCTTGAAGAAGTCTATCTGAACTTTAGGGTTCTTTCTTGTATGTCATGTAACTTACAGGTTACATGACATACATGTTACCCTAACCCTAACTAATCATTAAACTTAATTTTAATTTTCAACTTAAATCATTGCTACAGAAAATGTGCCCTTTAGCAGACCTTCACCAAATCTAAAATTATGGCATGTTGGGAAAAAATGCCACCACAGGATTGTCTATGCCATGTCCCTCTTTTACCAACAGCTATGCCAACGAAGTTGGAGCATCATTAATCAACCATTACGATCATACTATTAACTGAGATTAGATTTAACTCTAGGATCTGAATTTCAGGTTTATTGTACTATGGATAAATAACAGATTTTTGCTGCATGATTGCTATACCAGAAATGGATGATGCTTGTTCAAGAGACCAAGGTATCTTCAGCTTGCAAACTGAGACATCAAAGCAGAAAAATAATGCCTCTGCAAGATATGAGTGCAAGAAGAGCTGGCCTTTTCGTTACCCCCTTTGGTCACAGAAGTTACCTTGGCTAGATTATTAAGGACAGTTAGGCAACACTTGGATATTGTTATATTCATGGTATCTTTTGACGAGATACTGATCATTCGTTGTGGTTCAGGTAGAACAATAAAGTCATCTCCTGGCAACAGACTTCTTTCCTGTTCAGGGTTTGTCTTCATCTAGAAAGGAAAAGGACAGAGTCAAATATATGCCCGTCAGAATCACGATGAAGGCACAATTTGGCCTGCCAGGTTTGATTTGGACAGTAATCTGTCCTTTGGTCTATGATTGTCTAGAATAAAGGCAGCATTACACCCAAATGATTAACTCTCTTACTTCCCAAAAATAAAATTAAGAATGATGAATGCAGATAAAGGGTTCCTTTAACTTTATAGATACGCTTTAAGGAACAACAACTTGTGGTGAATGTGAATTTAAAAGAAAACCAATTCTTACTTAATGCATTTAACACATGGTACTTTAGAATTAAACATAATACAGAATAATACATATTCTTCAACTATTCAATCATTAGAGAAAACAATATTAGCATAATTGCTTGCATTGGATCTGTAACTGGTCCTGAAAGGCTGTTCATCTGTGTGGCAGAGGACAGACTTAAGCAAGGAAATGAAAGGAGGCTGCACTGCTGCATAATGAAGTCCAGACCACCAATTTCCCCAAAGCATGCTAAAAATACACTTTGCATTTTTATAACCCACAGAAAACACATGGCTAAGCAGAAACTTTAAATTAGATGTTTACTTCCAACTTTAAGTTCCACCGACGTCCTTCTCTATCCGCTTGTTCTATAAGAGGCTCCCAGAGAGCGTGTGTTTCATTGTAATAATGCACCTGGAATGCAGGAGTGAACACAAAGCTGAACTCATCTATCTTTCTCTTCCCGATCAACAAACCAAACTCAAGAATCATGGAAACCTATTACAAGTTCAAGGGACTGCCGACCCTAGCAACGAAGCCATTTAAAAGAGGGATGCCCAAATTCGAAGCTATCACCCCTACTGACATACCTCCAGCGTCATGTCAGCTCTGGCTGTCATGAGAGAAGACCAATTTTTCACGGTTCCAGAAAACGCAGATTCTGCTAATAATAAAGGAACGGTACGATGTCCCAATCCACACTCCAGGGTGACCTGAACCGATTTCACCTCCACCTCAAAGCGTTCCTTTTTTTCACACTGCTCGCTGGCTAGGAAGGTTTCAGTGACTTCCGTGGCCATGTCGACACCTAGGAACCAATTCTGGCACTGGTCAACGGATTTGACGCTCCAGAGGTTCCCAGGATTACAAGCAATCCCTCCAGATTCTTCCTCCTTTGCCTGTGACTTCATGGCAGCCAGGATAGTCATTACAGTGTTGAGAATTATTGGTGAAACCTTAAAAAAAAAAAAGGAAATTAAAGCTGAACTATGCACTTTCTTTATATGTACTAATTGTAGACCGGTGTTTTTCAAACGTGGCAACTTTAAGAGGTGTGGACTTCAACTCCCAGAATTCCCCAACCAGCATGCTGTCCACACCTCTTAAAGTTGCCAAGTTTGAAAAACACTATTGTAGACAGTGGGTAAACTTGAAAAAGTAGGCTTCCTATCGCTTTGCAAATGCATTTCCATTTAAATCCCGTAATCCTGCGTGCGCAGTCAAAGGCTGATTTAAATCAAGGGCCTTCCACATATCAGCCTCTGATGAAGAGCTGCTATTTTACAGATGGGGATATTTTCAGAGCGGTGGTAAGATTACTCCTGATAAAATCAAACCAGTATTTTTACGATGGATGACCACAAGGCAGAAGCTGCATTGTCACTGAGAGAGGTAACCTCCCTTTGTCAGAGGACAGTATTATGTACTGCAGACATTCTCCCTTACTAGCACACAGCCTAAAGTGAGATTTAAAATGTCCAAAAGAGGAAGGCACGGGATACTAGATTATCTATCCTACACACTGTAGATCTGAACTCAGCGGCAGATTTTTTCTAGGAATACACAGAAGCACCAGGGTGACAGAATGTGATTTGCTACTAACTTTCACGATCAATGTGTCCATGATCACATCCACACTTTGCACTCCAGAAGTATTCATCGTGGCTTCCACAGCTAAAGAGCATGGTTGCACCACCTTAAAAGAACACAAGCAAAGTATTGTGGTCAATGCAACCTTTCTATTTTCAGAAAAAAAGTCAACTTCCCTAATACATGCAAAGGGGCTTACCGTGGTGACATTCTTCTTTGCTTTCCCCTGGAGGAAGGGGCAGGCCAGCACCTTGAGGTCAAACACCTGAGCGGTCACCTGGTGTGCCATCGAGCCCCCTGACAACATGAAACTGCACTGGAACGAAGCTGCTAAGGCAGGAGCATCGGCCTTTGTCAAGTTGGCAACAAACACGATTTCTGGATCCAAGATTTGTGCTATTACCGACATGTTTGATCGCAGAGCTGCAGCTATAAAAGTTTAAATCAAGTTTACTGAGCTATTAATTGGTTACCAGAACAGAGCAATAACATACACCATCATTATCACGACTATAGAAAATACAACAATCCTGCGCTTAAGTCGCTGCCCTGGCACTGTTGCTCTGAAAACAGAGCAACTGGAAGAGAGGCACTGCAGCAATGTCGGCCCCAGCAGGATCTCGGGAACTGACCCGCTCAGCGGGAGAAAGAAATGGAGAAAGTCTTTTACAAGTGGCCTCCTGTCACACAACTGCTGAATCCAACTGAGAGGCAAAAGCTTCACTGTATTATATTGATCAGAAAGGAGGTAAACACACACATGCGCACATACGCACACACACTCCCTGAGGAACTCAATCATTTTGTCATGAAAAAGAGCATTTCAACATTCCTAGTGTCAACGCAAAGGCCAAGATCGGTGGCGGGGGGGGCAGGCTCAACGGCCCGAGAGAGTACAGAAGGACTGACTTCTGTCTCCCATATCTCCTGTATGGGAGACGCCATGTTACAAACTACTTTTGAAAATATCCTCAAGTCTCCTACTTGATTTTCCAGAGACATTGATTGTCAAGAACTATCGGTATTCCAGATAGTCTGTGGATCACACAAACACTCAAGGCACCATCCAACATAAACTGAAAATAAAGTCAGAACACAAGACTGCCCAGTGATTAAGAGTTATTGATATTCAAAGCGGACGTCTGTGACTCCTTCTGTCTGCTGACCTTTTTCAGGCTTAGGCTTTGCCTGGGAAGCGTGCTTTAAGGAAAACTGGGTTGATCTTTCCGCTGGAGAGCTTGCAGGCATGGATTTAATGAAGAAATCCGCCACGGTCAGTAAGAACTCCATGCTGGCACACAAATACAGCTGATCCAAGACAGATACAATTTCACTCCCATTTTTATCTTGCTTGTAGCTGATGTCAATCATGACGCTACCAGCCTTACCATCCTTTTTAGCTAGCATTCTGGAAAAGAAATGCATTCATAGAAGAGGTGGTTGTGTTTATAGAAGAATTTGTAATAGATTAATCCAGTTTGCACCCTCCAATTATGCCGAGGCTAAGATTCCTAGAATTTCTAGTCAGAGGGCCCCCATCTGCAAGGCATCAGATTCAACAGACCTGCAACCAAATTCCATATTCTTTACAAAAGGTAGATTTTTAATGGCTGACCAATTATATGAAGACATGCATCTGTTTGAGGAAATAAAGATACCATAATTTGCCACTTGCTACTATAATTTGATGCCAACTGGCAGTTCCCAATCATTTTTTAATTTCTTCTTTGATACAAATCAAATAACTTAAATAAAAGGAATGAATGAATGAATGAATGAATGTGCATGCACACGCACACACACACCTAATTTAGAGGCAGGGACAGTATAATTTACACACCATCCATAGAACTGCAGTTCCTGAACAGTCTAGAAACACAGGAAGCGAGTAAGTAAACTGATGACATTGCAGAACTATTCAAGTCACCACCGAAAGGAACAAAAGCTGAAGGGAGATTCTGAGGGTGAACTTTGATATATGCACTATTAGCATTATTATGGCATTTACAAACTGGTCTTCATTTGCACTTCTGCTTCTCTTCCCTTGTATTCTATTTACCTGGGTAGTAAAGCCTTAGGAGAACATCAGTGTGTGTGTGTGTGTGTGTGTGTGTGTGTGTGTTAAGCAAAGTACCTATGGTACACACGGCAGAGATGCGGTGTTTTCAAATAACTGCTAGACAGCTAACCTTGAAGTCACTTTCTGTATCCCTTCTCTGAGATCATCCAATGTACATGTTTCCATCTTAGTACTGACATCTATAGAGCCGTCTGAAAACATCTGTCCTGATGATCTCATAAAATGCAGCCGGAGCTCTCCAAGACGTAAGTGGCTATTGTGAAGCGAAAGCTGAGATTTCTACAACAGATAAAAATGGTTGAGATAAAAAGATTACTTTCATAGCTCACAATACTTCTCCATCAATCTTGGTTTGGGCTGGTTTTTTTTATCCCTTTATTATTTTTATAAATAACTCAAGCCACAAACATACCTAATACTCCCTCCTCCTTCTATTTTCCCCTCAACAACAACCCTGTAAACAGAAGGTTCAAATAGAACCTATCTGAACAGAGAAAGAGCATGGAAGGACAATTTTTTGTATTAAAACAACAAAACTCAGTTTACAAAGAAGAGATCTCTCCAAACAAATATTTTAAGGCTTTTTGACACCCAAGTTAGTCAATAGAGAAATCCTGAAAAATATCAGAAGTGGTGGGAGAGGGTGGCAGGATGCCAGGCAGAGCAAAAGTAAGGAGCAGGAATGGGGCGGGGAAAGCTGGGGGCCTGATGAACAATGTGTGTGTGCATGTATGAAGGGGCACACACAAATGGATACCAAACTCAAAGACAAATTTTTACATGTTTTTGCTACAGACTCTCCCCTATTTGGACCACACTGATCTAGTTTGCATGTTATTTTATTAATGCTATATCTAGGGGTCCCAAGAAAACTGGCTTTCAAGAACACTGTCACAAACCTGGTTCTCATCAGCATTGTAGAGAACAATGGAAAGAGATTCAAAGTTGAAATGAAACATCACAGCCACACTTTTCTTAGGCTGAGCGTCACCAAGTCCTTCCTCTCCAGAAATCTCAGGAATTCCTGAATGGTTGAGAAATAAGAAAGGCATTTAAAAGCAATAATGACTACTAGTGGTCTGAGGACTGATACTCATTTAATTCTTATGTGACCATTATCTTCACATTAGATGCCAACCCTGTTTGATCTTATTTCACAAACAAAAATTTTATTACGGCCAAAGACCAGCATAAAATCTTATTTAATCAATCACAATAGAATACAGAGATGTAAACATCTCTAGAAATTTTGAAGCCATGAAAACTGAATGAAATACTGCATATGAAACATTTTCATTGCAGACTTAAACTGCTTTCTCTGTTCTCTTATAATATATTTTATAACTTGGCACACACTAGCTAAATTTATTCCCTTGGTAAGCATGCACAGGACTGCATCTGAAATAAGAAATATTTTTTTCTTCTGAACGAATTACAAATGTCCAGCATATTAGTGCATCATATGCTTAGTAGCTGAGAGAGACGGACCGGCCCAAAGTCACCAGCCAGCTTTCATGTCCAAGGTCTCCAGGTGTCAGGCCACTACACCGAACTCTTTTCTCCAGTGCTTCACAGTACTATTTTGTCTTGATTGTGTAACAACCAAATAAAGTATTTTGCAACTATTTTAATTAAATATCCAACTTTGGGAAAAGAAGTACCTTCACCAACATCAGCCACAGTTTCAGGTTTGTGCTTTTGAAATTTCTGAGCTTCTGGTAAGGTTGAATGCGTAACTTTGGGATCCGCAGCAGCTTCACTGAGATTCTCTAGCAAAATTTTCATGAGCAAAGTCAAGTCATCTTGACTGATTGAGATCTGCAAAGGGCATAATCCATTATTAAACTGCTTTCCTCTGGCAACACTACCCATTTTGTTTTTTGTTTTTATAAACAGGTGGAAATAGTAAAGATCAATCTTAGGCTGGCGCAGGAACTTCACACCTCCGTTTATTAAAACTCTTCAAGACGCCAGATTGCAGACACCAGGAAAAAAAATGCTAACCAGTATAGATAAGAAATACTTGCCGTTCACCGTGACGGGTCTGTATGAATTAGCTAATATCAGGCAGCAAATACAGATACACAGTGATGGCAGCAACTGCACAAAGTATTGCCCAAAAGGGCAGAAACGGTTGGTTTTCTCTTTACATACTTGCATGCATTCAAAAGAGGCAGGAATGCTTCCACACAGAAGAAAAAAATCTTGGGTAAAACAGCTTCAACTTGTAAGTGGAGACAAGCTGAACTGGAAAAGCAAAGCCCTTTTCCTGGCAAAAGCAGCGTAACCTTTATTAGGCCAATGCCTCATAATCCAAGTTATAATTATGGTCCAAAGCTTATCTCCACAGAGGTCGTGGCTCTCACAACATTTGTGACCTTACCAGCATGGCCTTCAAGTCTCCTTGGACGGCAATCCCTGGAATTTGAGGATACCAAGCTGCGGCTAAATTCCTCTGGATGGACAGCTGCAGATTGACGGGCTGCAAAATTTCAAGGTCTGGCTGAGGACCGCGGCCTACGGTGGTCCTATAGATGAAAGGGGAAGAGATGGTGACTCACAAGGTGGCCCTCTGAGCAAACCAGCCCCTCCTGCCGGCAGTCCGTGACGTCACTGGGAATAGCCTTCAAGGTCTAAGGCTCACCCACTTGGGGATGGGCATCTTACGGCATGGAAGGCACGCTCACATCTTTCATCATCTGTTTCTGCTGCATGGGATCATAAGTTGTTACAGGCAGGGGAGCCTGGCAGCGTCCGCCGGCTTCCTTCCTGCTGAGGTTTTACGGCTTCTGTATAATGTCCTCTGCTTATTTTTGAACTGATCTTTTCACTGTAACGCAGTGTTTCTCAACCTTGGCAGCTTTCGGATGGGTGGACTCCAACTCCCAGAATTCCCC